TACTTACACATCACGTCTTTGTGTCATTGTGCTATGGTAAACTTTTGTATTCTTGTCTTTCTTTTTTGCTAATGTGCTTTGTCTATATGCCTATTTGTTTTTCTTTGTTGACATACTTGTTTGTTTTTATAGTGATTAAGATTATAACACAATGTTGACTGCTGTACCCCTATTTTTCACATTTTTACCTATTATGTCTGTTTGTTTTGTTCACACACTGTTGTCAATATAATTGAATTTTATGCGACTGTAATACAAGTGAGAGGTATAGCTAGCTATAAAACCAAGTTTAATCCACCATTTTCTACATAATGAAATGCCTGTAAAAAGTCAGGAATATGACAGTTGTTATCCATTCGTTTGATGTGTCTGAGCTTTTGATTTTGCCTTTTGATAAGGGACCTTCCGTTTTGAATTTTCCTTTGGAGTTCGGTATTTTTGCAATTTTACTTTTTAAATGGACTTAAGTATTTTGATGGCCCTTTTTAGTCATGTAGCTCTTCAACTGTTTTTGTTCTTATCCATAATTGTCTTTCAAATTTCGGCTTTGTTGATTTTGGATGAATGTAAATCAAGAAAAGTGCTTTGACGCAACAACTAGAGGTGTTTAACGACCTTGATTACCCATGAGGGTCTCGTGACGCATGGAATTTATAAAGTGTTGTTTTAAGTTTTTTTTGTCGTATTTTTTTTTTTTTTTTTTTTTGTGGTTGTTGTTGTTTAGTGTTTTTTTTTTTTTTTTTTTTGGAGGGGGGTAGCTTTTATTTCGTTTAAAGTGAATCTCATATCCAGTCGATTTGAAATATAATTTTTGAAAAAACGTTTTTGAACCACGAGGTACTAAGCCCTGACTGAAAAACAGCACCATCCATAACAGTTACTATGGCTTTTCTACTGCATGTAAACGGTGTGATGCGTTTGTTCGTAACATCACATAATGTTTATCTAATAATTAAATTGAATACAAATTGAATCAATAACAAAACAGGCACGAGTTTGTCTCGTTTGATTGTCGACCGATAAAGAACGAGCTCGTCCGGTACGTCAAACAACAAGGAACAGACAAGGAATGATTGAGTATGATTGTTAATATGAATGTGATAGATCAGTCCACGTTATTTATTACTTCATATAGTTAGGTAGTCAGTATCATGTAGTATTTAATGGTATTATTTTTATATCCAATCTTATATCCAAAATATTTCCCCCTTCCTACATTTTTGTATCAGTTAAAGAGGGCCGGGTTTAAATCTTGAACTTAAATCAGATAACATGTATAAAACTGTATAATTCATAATCTAAAAATTATTTTCAGACACAATATTGAAACTTATCTTATACAAACATAAACATTTTTATTTTTGTAAACTTAAAGTCACCTGTATATTTGTTCAATTTTTCAGTGTAGATCATGTAAAAATACATATTTACTTTTGTAGATACATGTAACTATTTCTTTCACCAAGTTCAGCTATGATCTGAATATATATTTTTTTCTTGTAGAGGACATATGCACACATTCACATAAAGCTTGTCAGCTATTTTTAAATACCAATTTAATCACTGTATTGATATTAATAGTTCAACTGTGTCACGAGTATCTCTCGGGTTGTACCTTGATTAATCTATTAACTATATCGAAAGTACGTTATACCATGGAAAAAATCCACCATTGAACATTTTTCCAAGGAACATGTCATTGCAGGTAAGTATTGTTATAAAGGTCAAAATTAGTGTATACAATAACAACCTTTGAACTTTTCTCTTGTGTTTTAGATTACTTTGAGTATAGCCATTCTTTTAGAATATTCTATTTATTATTTGTTTTCCTTTCACTTCTGCGTGTTGTTTCTTTCAAATGAATGAATGTTGATAAAACCCTAATCGCCTTGTGTCTAGATTCGAGACTCGCACGCTTTGGTATAGATCACAAATTTTTTATTGATTATTGTTTGTTTAAACGAGAGGTGAAAGATTTCAAAGGGATATTCAAACTGATGAATCGAATACAAACTGATAATGCCATGGGAAAAAATGCGCATGTCTCATCTAGTTGAAAATGAATTTATCAACTCTAGTACAACAGCTTATTTTACTATCTTTACTTGAAAACACATGTGAATCAGGAATATGAACAATCTTTATAGCATTTGCTGTGTTTCAAGCGACTAGATGATCAGACATTCATCAACAATATTCCTTCGGTTGCCAACGACGGGCCCCTAAAATATTGTTGCGAGGGGTCTTTATCGTGCAAAGAGCTTTTAACTGTCCAGACACTAGGAATCGAAGTAATCGATCCTATGTCGACGGGAACGGGACACCCTTATACAGCATAGGTGTTATGAAAGAAAAGTATAACAATTCAATCACACTCTGAAACACTAGCATTTTAGCATTTTAGCATCCCCCTATAGGATCTTAAAAAAGATCAAACAGCATTAATTTAAATTTAAAGATTTGAAGAACTGTGTTTTTTAATCATGTTAGCCTTACAAAAAAAGTAAAATCACTACAATACCGATTTTCACGGAAAATTCAAATCGGAAAGTCGCTATTCAAATGGCAAAACCAAAAGCGCAAACGACACAATCATAAGATACTCACTGATAACTTGTGCTTTTCATTGCATTACTACACCTTGAAGCAGAATCAAACTTCCGTAGCAACTATATACAACTTTTACGAAACAAACACATATCTATGAAACATTAAACTTTAGTTTGATGTACTAGTTTTAAGGAAAAATATTGCTTATGGTCAATGTTGTTGGAAAAGTAGTATGAAATGTTTTTTTTATAAATGCTCACCAAAGATGTCAGGCTTATAATTTGGACATTTACGTCTACATGACACTCAAGCTAACGGATCTGATGTAATAGAAAAGGAGAGAAAAGATTATATGGGTCTATAAAAAATCATAAGTGCAAAAAAAAACTAACAAGATCAAGGTCGAAATAAAATGCAATGAAAGGATAAGCAACAATTACAAAAATTTTGCATAGAAAACTTAGGGTTTGGTATCAATAATAGGAAGATGTGGTATGAGTGCCAATGAGACAACTCTCCATCCAAGTCACAATTTGTAAAAGTAACCAATTATAAGTCAAAGTACGGCCTTCAACACGGAGCCTTGGCTCACAACGAACAGCAAGCTATAAAGGGCCCCCAAAATAACTAACGTAAAACTATTCAAACAGAAAAACCAACGGTCTAATCTATATAAAAAACGAGAAACGAGAATCACTTATGAACCACATCAACAACCGACAACCACTGAACATCAGGTTCCTGACTTAGGACAGGTACAAACAAATGCAGCGGGTTTAAACGTTTTAATAGTTGACAACCTTCACCCTAACCTGAAACAATAGTGTAACATCACAACATAGAAAGACACAATATAAAATATCAATTGAAATGCCCTAACCATGTTAACTCAATCTAAAGACATATTAACAAAAACAAGTGAATATACACTGAACGAATAAATTTGATCTATGACACAAGTAAATACAAAATTAATAAATCAAGGGGGTTAAATGTAAAACAATATCAGAAAGACAACCATAACCTTGGACAAAATGCCGCCAAATAAAATAACGTACACATGTATCAAAGGTGGTATATATTTAAAATAGTGAGACGAGATATAACACTATTAAGTAAACATTAAATAACAAAAATGCATTACAAATAGTTTCAACATGTCAAATTAACACGAAAGTACGATTTGAGAGTACTCGCAGTTACTGAAAGCTAGTTAAAAGTCAAAAACTATTAATAATAATAAAAAAAATCATGCATCAGAGACTAAAATCAACTAAACACATCCCAGGGATTTAGTGTTTTAACGTCATGGACAGTCAAAGAAGACATGACTTGTGTAATGCCAAAATAAAAGTATCGACAGGCAGTAGGATAGTTAGGAGTTAACCTTTTAATAAATATGTATAATGTTATATATAGATAGAGTAATCTCTATATAGAAAATGAACGTGGATGTGTATTTATACATACCAAAAAAAACGTTTGAAAAGAATGCAAATTTAGTTATGTTTTTAAATTGCTGATGACAAAATCGATATTTGTGCCAATTTAAACTATATTCTAATTATAACATTGGTAAGATAACCTTTACTAATAAGTTTGTTTAAAGGTTCGATGAGTTTACACGGATCACATAGTGATTTCCGCGCTTTTAGTACAATATTACCGTAAAATTTAGGATATGAAATACCGTTTTTAATACGTTTTCTACAGTACAGCCAAATTTACTAATTAAATCTTTGTATCTATGAAAGAATTTAGTAAAAGTTTTAAATAATTTATGGTTACGAAATCCCTGACTTAATAATATACCCGTGATGCATTGACTACGTTCGTTTAAATCTTTGACATCAGTACACACACCGGCATAACGAACGATTTGGTATATATAAACACCGTATGAAAGAGCCAAAGGAACATCGCTGTTAATAAAGGAAAATTAACAATAGGGAATGAAAAAACGTCTCTGTTGTCGTAAATTTTAGTACGGAGTTTCCCTTTAGAAATTGAAATGTCTAAGTTTTAGAAAAGGACAACTACTGCTGGTTATGTTAGATTTATTTAAAGTAAGTTCCTTTGGGTAAATTTCCGTTGTATATTACGAGAATTCTGGATTATTTAACGAAACAATATCATCAAGATAACGGTAGGTATTGTTGAATGTATCAACCAAATGTAAAAATGACGTGTCTTTACTGAGTTTGTTCATAAACTGAGATTCATAACTAACATGTATTTTTTAAATTGACATAATGATATACTATAGACTAAAGGAGATATGGTATATACCATAATGAGACAGCGACCAAACTACAGCAATACCAAAAAGACATTAAGAGAACAAAAAACGGTCTGATTTATTTGATATTCAATTTCATGTTTTGTTTTATTTAAAAGAAAACCATGGATAACTTAAACAAAGAAAAGGTCGATTGGAGAGAAGGCAAAACCTTACCAAATTGTATGCTGTACATGTTAGAGCATGAAATTATGTGTGACGTCACATTCCGTGTTGGAGAAAGCCGCAAAACAATTAAGGCACATAAGAATATCTTGGCGGGTCGAAGCTTAATATTTCATACGATGTTTGAAAGTTTACTTCCTGAAAAAGAAGAAATCAACATACCTGACATTTATGTTGATACATTTAATGACCTTCTTCGGTAAGTGTGTTGTTAGTTGTTCGCATTCTGGAATATGTTCACAAAAAATGATTAAATGCAATCTGAAATAATGAAATATTAAAAATAAATTGTTGAATGTTTGAAACAATTCAGTTAACATGTCTTTTAAGTAAATGCAAATGTTGTTGTGCAGAACATCCTTTATATAATATTGTTATGGCATACTGTATATCGGCAATCTTTCTAAAATCTTATGCAATTAATCATATGGTCAGACCATACGCGTATGGTATAAGTATATACTCGTTTGTTTATAAACAGGCAGGACAATATGACTATTTAGATCATTTAGGTGTTGCTCGAATAAATTCTAACCTCCTTAGCAGGAGAACACAAGTCGTTCTCCGAACCAAAATCACAACAAGTTACTAACCTAAATTCTTTATATTTAACATATTGTCTGAATCGTGGTGTATCTGTTATCTTGCCTTCGCTAGAGTCAATTAAAAGCGGATTTATCGTTAGTTAAACCACAGACGTTTGGGGACTGGAATTTTTTGCGTGTTTTCCGGTGTCAAGATAGTATCTTCTATATGGTCTTATTCCTACTTATTTTAACTTAAAAGATGTGGTCCTGCTCCTTTGGTTTGGTCAGCTGTTCAACATTTTTTATATGATTTGGATTTTAAACTATTTCAGAATCATTAAAGAGATATTAATTATCGTAATGCGTATATGGTGCAGTAAAATTGGTACCGTTAATGTTATTACTTCCACTAGGTCGATACCTCTGTTGGTAAACTGTTAGTCCCCGAGGATATCACCAGTTCATTTCGGTACTGGCGTGAAAATATGGATATTACTGTTTTCGAACTTTTGGAATCATTTTTAACCAAAAATGTATCTTCATCATGCAAAGTTGATTGCTTGTCCAGATTTGGCTATACTTTAGGTCCGTTTAATTTGATCGGCTCTTCAAAATTCAAAATTCAAATATTTCGGCCTCGACCGTCATTGAAAATACATAAATAGTTAAAATACGAAATTGATGCAGTTAAATTATAACTTTTAATGTTATATCATACGATCTAACAATGACAGTACTTTGAAGTGATGTTCCTCTATTTTAATGCAAGGGACATTATGTATAAACTACAGTTCTTGTACGATATAATAATGAATAGGAAAACTCATTATTACATTGGTTGCAATGAATTACGTGATTTCCCGATAATTTCACATGTGAAATAAACTCTGTTATTTCAGCCCTCTGACGTCATACAAAAATAGGTGGTGTCAAGACGTGGGCGATGACGTCGCATCAAACCAAATTGGGAATGCGTAGAAAAAGATATAGTTCCTTGCATTTCTACTTTAATTCCATTAAAAAAGCCCATTGCCAATGTAATAAAAAGAATAACTCATCAAAGAATTCAAATATCGAAAAATACTCAACTCGTGACCGAACAACACTGATAATCAACTCATGCGCTACGCGCATTCGTGAATTAATGTGTTGTTTATTCACACGTTGAATATATTTCTATATTTGAATTCTTCGATTTGCTTTTCATATAATTAAATACTTAAAACTAATATTCAAAACGAATTTCAATTTCCTAAAAGCAAACATAAACACCAAAATAAATGAAAAAAGAGGGTTCAATGCAAGAAGTGCTTGTGTGTTAAACAGTTAAATTCTTGTCAAACGGTTCATTTTAATATTCTAAGTTATTTTCTTAATTCGACATACTGTGTTTCGTAAGGAAAAATCGATAATGACCCTGTAAAAAATCTTTCATTGTAGTTTTAACCTAGTGAGTAAAATTCACTTTATTTCATGATTCATCTCATAATTATTACGATATGATAAAAGAAACAAACTTCTAATATATGACACCTTGAAGGGCCATCATACAGTATTACAGTATGCCATTTGCAAAAAAAACTTTCATCGTTCATCGTATTAATTACAAGTAACATACGCGTATGGTCGGACCATATGAGTATATATGCATATTGGCACGACCACACGTTTATTGTTCAAATACTTAATTGGTCTTGAACATATATTTAATGATAACATTTTCTTATTACTGTAATACAAAACTATACCCTGTACAATGTACTGATGCGGCAATAATACTTTAAAACGAATTTTAAATTTAATTCCCAGACGGACTTTAACAGTAAGCATTCACGCATATCCGATTACTTCACCCTTTTGAGATCATACAGAGCTACAACACGAAAAGAGAAAAAGTAGGATTACTAACCTCAATGACCTGGAATAACCTATCATTGACTGCATGATGTCGTATACGTACAAAACATAGTCATATGGATCGGAAATAGTCCGGAGAGGTCGGCCAAGTACTCCCGACATTAAAGTGCGTTAAGTAACATTCGCGAAACTCACTTGTATCTAATCGATTCACAATCATGACTATGTCGTTACACATTCTGTTGTATCGGATCAAAATCGCAACAATTTCCTGCGTCGGTTCACTTTCTGGTCACTGTCTGAGTTCTGCCGGATCGCATTCGGGACATGTTCTGTCGGTTTTTTTTTTATCATCTTAAAGATAGAAATCGGATCAGAATCGGACAGAAAGAGGGACAAACGTGACGCTTTCTGAACAATTTCTGATTGTTGTCGTGATTGTGATTAAACTAATGTTTTTTTAACAAATTTCCAGCACGAATCAAAGGATCTTGATCCAACTTTGAAAAATTTTAAAATTGCGAATGGTCATATCAAGGACGGCATTAAAAATCTTGAATGTGTGACTGAGGCTTAAAGTGGCATTAACTACATTGATTCAAATTCTTAAATTTTATTTGATATAAACTCAAACGTAATGCAGACATTTCTTACTACATCATGTCCATAGAACACACAGAAAACAATATACAATGTCTGGAATGGTTATAATGTATCAGCATTACGTGTGTATTACTGACTGCACGCCATCTAATTTACTATCGACATGACCCACGAAAACTGTCAATGGGCATTTAACCAAGTTTAATTATAAATATAGACAGACAGGTCATCACGGACAAGAAGTATAAGGTTAATATTCTTAGTTCTGTTTGATCGTTTTTCAAATTAACAACATGCAAATAAAATGTGGATTTTTTGCGGATCAATTCGATCAGCAATATTGGTCTCCTTCTGCTGCCTTCCTAGTTTCACTTTAATTTGATGAGCTGACACTGGTTTCAATCACTGGACTTGCTAATCCCATGCGTAACCTGTCTCCAACAAAGGTTAATCAAAGGTCGCATGAATATGGATTCAAATAAGGTTGAGTTATTGACTTTCTAACCAATAATACATCATCGATGTGTATGAGCTCATTTTGACAAACTTTAACCACACTGACTGCTAATATTTCGTTTTTATTACTGTTTGAAACAAAATATAATCGTATTTTAATGTTTTGTCTATATCGTAGTTAATGCCACTTTAACAGTATTTATGATGAGTTTTTTACGTAGCTCATTTATAAATTACCATTTCGTGATTTTATGCATAATTAACAATGTATCTATTTTCTTATGGTATTATTAAGTTGTTCGGTTTGTTTTACAATGACAAATGACATGAGTTTTTATTCTACCGTTGATATCTTATGGTTCTTTTTTCGTGCCATCATAGCGACCTAATATACCTGATAGCGATGCAAGATATATAAATATTTACAATGTTTGCTTTAAACTTGATTTATATTGTATTCTAAATATTTTTCCCAATCAGGTATGCATACATTGATGATGTTCAAATATCAACAAACAATGTTAACAGAATGTTATATGCAGCTGACAAATACATGCTTTCAACACCTAAGACAAAGTGTTGTGAACTTCTTCAATCAACTGCACAATCTTCAAATGCCGTTGTGACGCTTTCAACGGCAAATCAATTCCATCTTGAAGATCTACAAAAGGAAAGCTTACAGTATATAAAAGATAATACGGAAGAATGCCTGTTGTCTAGTCATGCAGTTCAGCTAAATACCGAATGCGTTCAAATGATTGTAACGTCTGAATATCTTTCCTGTTCCGAGACAGAAGTTTGCAAATTTTTCCTGAAGTGGACAGAAGCTCAATGTAAACTGCACGGAAAAGAAGTAAATGCAGAGAACCTAAGAGCCATAGCAGGAGGATTGATGCCCTTAATAAAATTTCCGCTTGTAGAGAAAAAATATTTTTCAAGCGACGTTTCACATTCCTTGCTACTTACAAAAGATGAAATCATAAGTGTGTTTCGTTACCATCATGGAGAAAAATGCTTAATGTTTTCGGATGAACCTAGATCTTCGTCGAGCGATTTGCAAACTAAATACTTACATCGGCATACTAGTGTAAGCAATGGATGGCTCTCTACTGCAGCTAACGCCCTTAAGTTTTATTCAAGCAAATCAATACTGCTCAAAGGATGCATCATTTTTTAACCAGTTTCAAACATGAATGTAGTCGATTCGAAGTTCAAATTTGAATTAACAGATAATTCTGAAAAGTTAATCTATAGTGAGGTACTTGACATGCAATCGAATACGTCACACAATAAAACAATTGCCTTAAAACTAGCCAAACAGATTCGACTGAACACCAACGAGCGATATACAATTATGGTTCGAGATATTATTCCCGCAACGTATTATGGAAGCAATTGTAAATCGGTTTGTAACGAAGATGGTATAACAATTATATTTGAGAATTCTCCAAAGTGTCAATGTAGAACCGATGTTAATCATGGACAGATAGCTGGAATCATGTTCAGCATTTAATATTTTCCGTCATTTTCATTTCACTTTAGCTTATTGTTTTGAATTGCAAAAAAAAACGTCACTAAGCCTGGAAAATTTTATTCTTTTGAATTTTTATTAATGAATGGATTTATTTATTTATTAATTTTTATTCCCTACAAAAAACCTTTTCAAATCATGTATGTAAATATCATATATAATCTTATGTTTGCAAGATATGTGTTTTAATGACAATCTTCAGTTCGACACCAAACATTTTTCAGCTAAGTACTCATAGAGCGTCAAAACAAAATGACTAAAATCAAAACACCCAAACCGTTAAATGAGTTGCAATCTTATGTTTTAATAACCTTCATGATAATAAAGTAGACCTAACGCTATGTAAACCAAATATGTAAACTTTTGTGTGCATAAAAATCTATTTTTTAACAGCCTTTTCTTTACGATAATAGAATTGACATGCACAACTGATGTACATTAAACGGTAGTTCAGGGTGATAAATTATAAGCAGATATTGTTGATGCGATTACCATGCCAAAGGAATCATTTTAAATATGTTTAGTATGATACAGGCTATTTAAGTGATAAAACAGTCTTTTGGTATTGACAGTCCACAAAATTGTAAGTTGCAGTGAGCCAGTTACGACCAAACTTAGATATATCGACGTATGTTAGCGCGGTATCAACACGAACAACACGTGTATCAGCAAAAACCGTCATCAGGTGTGATTGAGAACAAACTTTGAAATGTGTGTAGAAAAATATTATTTATCATTTTGATAATTTAAGCCGAATTATCAATAAATTCAAATCAATTGTGAAATGTGAAAATCTATAAAAATAAATATTCCAAAAGGGCGCTTCCAGAATGCACTAGTTCATACTGCAATGATTGTTCGTATGCATATCATTGTTTTTTTTTACAATTTTTCTTCTGTTGAACTTTCAGGTTCTATTGGTATCAAATTCAAGCTGAATGGTTTATGATGTTTGTAAAATCGCTTTTTATTCATATGCAATCAGTGTATTTGAATTATAAATTTCTAAAAATCATTTTCACTTTCTGTTGTATTCATTTGTAGTGGTATGGATAAGGATACATGTACCGTCATTTCCTTTTTTAACTCATTTTTCTGTGATGGAACATACATATTGTATGTATGTTGCCACCAGTTTGTATATATGCACATATATATATGCTTGGTTTTTTTTTCCCGTTCTGTGAACTGACGTTGAGAGTAATTCATGTACGGAAAACCAACAGTGATATTGCTTGTGTCATTCTTGTCCTTAAGGATGTACTAAGGTGAGGTTTAGGAATGTTTGTCAGATGTTCGGACTCCTTGTAATTTATCCTACGATACAGGGCAAAATATTTTGCCCCATATCACCCACTTTTCTTTTCATAGAAGACTTCAATAGCTCATAAAAAGGTCATTACAAAAATTTAAGCAGATTCTAGTTTTGTTTTCTTATGTTCTTATGATGTGTTACCCAAAAAATGCCAATGCTAAATATAAATTAAAGTGTGGGTCGGCCTTTTCCAGCAATTTAAAAAAATCAAATATTTCTAAAAGGAGTTTTATAAGCTATCAATATATTCAGTTTAAATTGTTCATTAACTAATGCTCTTCTGACTTATATAGTATCAATTTTAAATTCTAGATTTTTTTCTAATTTCACCTAATCACCTTTTTAAAAAAACTTACATGACTTGACTTTAGTTATTGTCTTGAACACCTGTTGTCAATCAATGACAACAAATTATTCATGTTTCACCATGTTGTCTTCAATTTGTTTCATGGACAGAATAGTAAAACAATCGAACGCATATTTCTTTCTGTTTTCATGGTTATTTTGGTATTCATTTATTTATTTGACAATGTTTCTGCTTAAACGATTTACCTTTTCGCTTTCCTTGCTTCTCTTATGTATGATTTTGCAATTGTATCTGAAATGTAGTGCAGCACTACAGAGATAATGATTTCAAAAGTTCAAGCATGGACAAATAACAAACTGTTTAACAGTGAACATGTTGTTGTTACTTTGCTGCTTCATTGATTTTGAACAATATTCCTTTCATTTATATTTTCGTACCTTTATTATTAAAGTCTCAAATTTTCAGTTATTTTCCTTTTTTAAAAATGCAAGACTTCAACATTCCGAGTTCAGTTTTGAATAACAATGCGCTGGTCGTTTTTCTATTGTGCATAATTAAAAACAATGCGTTGACTTGTCAACTGCATAAAAGAAATTATTTTGAGTTGGATTCAGTAATACTTTTATATTCTTATTTTAAAGGCTATATTTCAAACTTAAACCAACAATAAGGAAATGGGACGTTTAAAAACGATGCAATCACAGTTATTAAATACCTGGGTTGAGTAATTATTTTGTGACATTTGAAGAGTTTATAGAATTGGTATAATATATACCTAAAATAAATTACATTTAATGTTTTCCCGGTGCATGATTTTTTTTAGGAAACATAAGTATTGATACTACAGTGATGACTTCAACAAGTACAGCAGTCTTGTCTCAATGATATATGAATATGTTGCATTATTCAATTAAAATCGGTTGTATATCAATTAGCATAGTTCGAGTATGAAAAAAAAGTTTGGAAGAAAAGTACATTTTGTTTTTCTTTTTTAAACTAAATACTTCATAAAGCTTGGATTTTCATACCATATCAAAATATTCAACTACTTTTTCACAACGTTCTCAAAACGATATTTATGGCATGCTCCTTTCCTAAAATTCATATGTTTATGATCATTTAATTTGTTTCAGATAATTTCAATAAAATTGCATTAAAGAATGAACGTTCACCATGTTAGATTTTTAATATCCGCCGGGAGTTATTCAGCCAAACAATCGTTTTAGTACAGTATTTACTCTAGTGCATTCGGCTATTTACAGATTTCAAATCAACAGAGGAAAATGAGAAAATTGTCGTAAATTAAAAAAAGAACTAATTTAGGGTCAAACCACTGCTAAGTTAACATATGAAAATAGAGTCATGTATATAATATCACAAAGAGAAAGATCGGTGAAAAAAATAACACATTAAATATTAAACTAGCCAAGATAATTTGAAGCAAAGAGAGCATTGCAAATTAATATAAGTAAAATAAGAATAAACTGCATAAAAACACTGGGAAAATATGCCAAGAATAAAGAACACACTAAGTGGTCATAGTAAAATGTCAGCTGAATATTTAATCAATGTTCTAAAAATAAATCAAGATAAATTTTGAAAATTAATGTGCAGTGGCGGATCCAGAAAATTTCAAAAGGGGGAGGGGGGCACTGACCGCCCTAAGAGGGGGCCTGCTCCAGTCATGCTTCAGTGATTCCATATATAATCAACCAAATTTTGCCAACTAAAGGGGGGACCGCCCACCTGGATCCGCCTTTAATGTGTACATTAATGATGCGAACCGCCGGCCAAACAAATAACGCAAAACTGAAACTTTCTGTAAATGAATAACTATTTAGTGAATATAAATGTGCACGGCGGTCATTTTAAGTCATATAAGTAAAATCCTTGCATTAGTTCGAAAAACATAATCAGGTAATCATATGTATTACATAAATTAAGCTAACCAAATATATGCTTAACGTTTTACACATTGTAACTTGGATGGAGAGTTGTCTCATTAGCACTCATACCACATTTTCTTAATTCTATTGAAAATTTTAACCGTTCTTTTGAACAATGTCAGAAGATTCTTCTTATTTGGAACGTCTATCAATGCTCACAGGTAGTATTGCCATGCGCAACGTTCCGATGTAATTATCATTTTCTGGCTGACAATGTATAGTATTTTACTGAATAAAACAAATAGTTTTGAACGTCGGAAATCTGCTCATGTTTGTTTCTTATTTAGTGAAACACTGGATTTAGTAAAACATAGAGCATTTTGAATTAAGGATTATGTACAGACAATGAGGTCTGCTTAACATCGTTACATTTTGCTTTTATTTCGAATAACCCCTGACGATTAAGATCAATGTCAAAGGGATAATTATGTAGTTCTTCTTATGTAAGTATATGGAGTATTGAGAATTGAAATGCTGTTCACTAAGAACAATACTTTTATCAATGCAGATTTAGAAAAAGTATGCAAAATAGACGTTTCTGTATTTATGTTGGCTTTTAGTTTGTCCATATGGTTGTCAATTAAATTCTTGTGTGTTCATTTCTTTTTCTATTGCCTCTTTTTGTCTTTCTGAAGTAGTTTCAGATTTTTTTGTTTGTTAATACAGATTCCCTATACATTTCAACTGCCCTTTCTTCAAGGTTACGAAGTATATCAGTTGCCTTCAGGTTATTTAGTGGATTTTCAATTTCTAT